CACTTTTTGCCTTTATCTTTTATTTTCTTGACAATTTTGACCTTTAACAAGGTTTTTGTTGAAATCTTTTGATCTTAAATATGTAATCACTTTTGGCTTGATGATGTGATGTATATAATGTCATAGTTCATAGATCTTTGCTAAATAATACCTAAGATTTCGAGATTTGCTAAGATCTAACAAATTTTTACAAAATAAATTAATAATTCACACAAAACATGTATATAACACATAGATATACACATTTTAATTGTATTCTCCCCCAAAATTCATATGAAAACCAAAAACAAAGGGGTATGAACTCACCTTTGCTTGATGTTTTGGTTTTTGAAGAAGAAGTGGAAAGAGATGAAGTGATTTTTGGCCCTAGCAAACTCCCTTGAGTAGGTTTCAAACTTAGGGGCTTCTAATGAGTTAGAACATGAAATAAGGTTATTTTAGAAAATATTTTTAGCATCAGGATGGATAATATGTGTTTATATATAATAAACACTTACCAAGAGGTTAAACCTTGAAGATTACTCTTGAACACAAACAAAACCTTGATATCTTTGATGAAAGAAGAGTATCATTTTAGAGATGTTTGGAGAGGATTTTCAAAAGTGTGTGTGTGTGTGTGTTTTGGCTCTCGGCTGAGAGTAGAAGAAGAAGGGAGGGGAGAGAGTGGTGAGGTGACTAGCATGGATATATGGGGGATCTAACATTGTTAAATGTTGAACAATATGGAGGTGGCACCTCCAAAGTCAACCCCCCCTCCGCCCCCATTTCACTTCTTTTCCTCTTTTTTTGCGTTATACATGGGCTGAGATTTTGGGCCAAGAAGAAAGGGTGGAGTAGTTTGGGCCCATTAACTTTAGTTAGGATCTTTGGATCTTAAACATAAATTTTTTTAGACCATTGGTCCCTTGGAAACATTTACGGCCCAAATAGAATAAAAGAATGGGCTTATGGCTCACTAAGGTTAATTGGATTAGTTATGGCCCAATAAGGCCCATTAGAGTTAGAATGAATCATTCTAGACCCAAATGGTTCAAAATGTTTTACATTTATAAATCGGGTCCAATTAGGATCCAATTAGGGCTTCTAAGTCCAATAAAGTTGATTTGGGTGCTTATTAGTACATTGGGCCCAATAAGGAAATCCTAGTCCAATATGGACTTAAACCGGGATTCTTAGGGTTTTTAGACTCTTTGATGAACATAATTGATGAATCTAAATGACCATTGAGTGAGATTTACTTAGAGTACATGTTTTACAATAGATGAACGGTTACACAGGTATAGAATTTCCTAGCTAAAATGCTAGTTGTGACAGTTTGAATTCAAATGGATGGGAGACATGATACCTAAACATGTAATTGTTTTGCAACTTGGATCCTAGACTTTGATAATTATTGTTTTTGGAAACTAAAAGGGTATTAATTATTAAACATTTTAAATATTGAAAATACAAAATGAATTTTGTTAAAATTTTGTAGTTAAATAATCCATTCCCATTACCATGAAATTGTCATTTTCTAGAATGACTTAATGAAACAATAACATTCAATAGATACAACTTCAATGAATGGTTCATATCTTAAGAGACACTCTTATGAGAGATATGAAATTGTATATGCTAAAATGTCCAAGTCCTAAACTATTTGCTTTGATCAATAAACCTAAACATGATACTTAGTAAAGGCATCACGGTGATGCTGAAGATGTTTCTAATATCAAACTAGGAATTGATAAAGGCCCAAAAGAGTTACCTTGTGTGATCTAGGAGGCCCATTTTTTATGGATTGAACACCTTTAAGCCCAAGAAATCCAATAAGACCCACATAGATGGATCTTGTATCTTTTATGGAGAAATTGGACACTATAAGAGGATTTGCTCCTCTTATCTGGAAAGAAAGTCTGGAAGAAACTAGTATTTCAAGTATCTACTAGATAGAACTCATACTTTTCATATGATACTTAGGTGCTTGGTAATTAAATGTTAATCTAATATTTGTAATTGGCTTGCAGATATTTAGTGAAGAGTAACCAACTAAACACAATCAAGTTAGAACTGCACTCTTGGAGTTTAGTTTATTAATTATGCTAGGAACATAATGTACTTGTAATATGAAACAATGTTTGTTTTGGAACAATGCATGTTTTAATTTAGCTTGCCTACATATATATCTCAGTTTAATTTATGAATGATTGACTAGTTACTTAAATCGTTTTCATTACAATCACCTTCATATTCGAAATGATTAAACTTACATTTATGAGGCTAGAACTCTTAATAAGAATTATAAAGTAAATATCATTTTTTTTAAATAAAAATTTCTATATGCAAACTACTTTTGACTTAAACTTGTTTTAAATTGAACTTATCTTTTACATTGTTGTCTTTATTATATAAATGACATTCACATATTCCAACATCAAGAAAGGGATCCATAAAGGAAAATAATGTAGTTTACTTGATATATGTAAATATTGTTCATATATAAAATATTCCTAATGATATTTTCACTAATTAGTATAGAAAATAATTAAGGAACTATACATTATAGTGTATGATTTCCTTTCTAATGAATGTCTAAGATTTATCATAAGATACCAAATCAACTTTATTAATAACTATGGTAGTTTCAATTATATTTTACACGCTAAAAAATTATTGTGAAACCTTTGTTTAAGTTTTCAAATATAAAGTTGAGATAAAAACCGGTAAAAACCATTTAAGGACTTAATGATAATAAAGGGTGAATTAAATCCTACTTGGGATGATTTACTTTCTAATCAGTAGAAATGTCCTCCTTTTATTTCCTTGGGATAACACATAGAACACTATCATTTGTACGTTGAGTACAAACACTAACTAACTAGTAGATATAACATTTTTTCATAAGATTTTGTATGGAAAGGCTCCATCCCTGTCTTATTTAAATGTTTTATGGATTTAAGGCCTATGTTGGACTAAAGCTTCTAAACCTAAAATCTACTAAATACATATTTCTATATAATATTCTAAATTTGTCTTAGATAATTATATGCAAACCCACCAATATTAAGTTTTCTTATTTCTTCGATAGCTGAGTTAGTAGAAAGCAAGTTTCTAATGATAAAGCAAGTGGGAGGTACATGAAACTTGAAGAAGCTCAAGAACCATAACCCAGATGTAGTTATAGTTGGTACTAGTTTTAACAATGATTGTTAAACTTGAATAATATCTATTCGCAAACACAAATTATTCGTATTAGTGGTAGAAATCATCTATGACTTGAGAAATGTGGAATTTCTCATTGACGAGATTTTATTGATGGTTTCTAGCAAATCCATAAAATACCAAGATGCTATGTCAGATCTCGAATATGATTTATGACTTAGAGTCATGAATATGAGATGTAATCCATGTATGATAATCATGTATGGTCTTTATTGAACTTTCTCTCTATATGAAGGTTAGAAGGAGAAAGTGATTCTTCTAGAAAGAATACATTACATGGATAACCATATACATTTAAAGAAATACTTACTATAAAAAAGATTTTCTCATACTCATGTCATTAACTGTGCTCTTTATCATACTCATGACATTGACTATGATCAAACCTTTTACACATGTAGCTTTGATTAGACCAATAAGGATATTGTTTACTATAAATTAATATTCTCAATATGAGATATAGCAAATAGATTTCAAGAAAGACCGCTTTTCTTAATAGACACCTACTAGAAGATATCTATATAGATTAGTCTAGAGGTTTTCTTAATCCATGTTATCCGAATAAAATGTGTAGAGCTTGAGATCCACTTGTGGATGTAAAGCAAACATCTCAATGTTGCAATCATCGTTATATGTAAAACCACATGGTATGTTTTTATATCAAAATGAATAGAACATGTAGTGACATTCCTAACCTTGTATGAACAAGACATACTTTATCATAACAAATTACATTCTGACCATGCCAAGCTTTTTCACCTTGACTCAGAATGCATTTCTAAAAAGAATGACTTAGGAAGGACAATATATATTCTTGGAATGTAAAAGAAATAAAGTTCAAGGGATCAAGATACAAAATTCCTTTGGAGGAATATAGTTATCGGCATAGGGAACTAAGTTTTGAGCCAACCTCAAAAGGACCTAGCTCATAGGCTTGAACGATTTGAAATGATTTATATTCAATTTGCTTGGAAAATGAATCCATAATTGTTGTGGGATGATCTATAGGGAACTGGTTGCTTGTAAAAGTGTTTGTCTTGGAGGTTTACCTGAGAACACAACACAGAAGAATCGTTAAAGGACGACCGGGGGTTCTCTCGGGACGTTGCTCCGACGATCAAGTTAGTTTTTACTTAAAGAGATTTGGGTAAAACTATATGTGGGAGAAGATAGATCCCTTCCTTGGGTTAAAAGAGATCCTTTTATACCTGTTACTAACAAAATGAAGTGACTCTCCCATGTGAGAGTGAGATGTGGCACTCTCTCAATGGGAGAAGTATGCCCACGCTAACTAACAGCTAAGTGACGTAAATTCTGGGCATCACCGGGCTCTTTGTCACAAACTAATTGGTATTGAGAAAATGAGAGGATCACAAGGAATATTTTTTCCTTGTGAGGGAAAGTGGGTCACCATCTCGGCACAAACCCACTTGGGCGAAAACTGAGTCCTGGCCAAGATCATGGCTTGATGACGTCCAGTCAGTGCTTTCCATCAAGTTTAACGTAGCAGCATACAGTAATGTTAACAAGTCCCTTGGACTAGTACGCTTCTACATTGGTGATGTAGCAGAGTCATTCTAGTCTATTCGTAGACACGTTGCGAACTGCTATTGTCACTCCGTGCGGTTTTTCAGGTGAAATCGCCGTTCTTTGGAGGTTTCATCATGAGACAGTTTGCTACTCCTTTTGTAGCATTTAAACCCTTGTTCCTCCAGGCGTTTCCTTCTTACTCTCTGCCTTTCTCACTTTGCTTCCTTGCTCCATAGAACCCTTTTGACCTTTTCTTGCATTCTTCCATGGTTTCTGCTCATCCTTTGGGAAGGGAACTTACTTTTGAGGAATTAGAATCCTTCCAGTTCCAGTTTGGGTTTTTCCCCAAACATAGCGTTCAAATCCCTCTTCCCAATGCATTGCTTTTTAGTCCTCCTTATGGCAAGGTCAGCATTCCAATTTCCTTGTTTGAGGTGGGTCTGTGTTTACCCACTATGGACTTTTTCAACCTAATCATTCATGAATATGGGTTTTCTGTAACAAAACAGACCTTAGTCTCCATAAACGAGATTGTGGGCTATAAGCTTCTCTACCATGCCCTATTCCATCAGTCGACTGTCCCGGCATTCAAGTACTTTTTCAATGCTTCTACCCATTCTGGGACTCAAAACCTTTCTCGTCGACGAGGAGTCCCTACCCTCATCCAGGATAAAAAAAATCCAAAAAGAACGGGCAGGAGAAGTTTTTATTGGTGAACAGAAACCTTGTGGTGCTTAGCCATCCAAGGACCAACACGTATGTGGACCTTGCTCCAACGATCTTTGGAGTTGACAAAGAGTTGGCAGATACCCCATAGAAGGTTAGCAATAATGGTGAGGATTGGCTCGACTGCTTCTTGGCCGCTGGTGGGATGAGCGCCACTTGGAGGGCTTGTGGGAGAATGCCCAAGTTTTTCGTTGAGAGAGAAGGTATGATGCTTCTTCTGTTTTCTCTTCCCCCCTCCCCCCTTTACTCGATGAAAGACTTTAAAATAGGTAATTTGTTAACCGTTATTGCCTTTGTTTTGTTTTCAGGTGTAGAGGAGGTTATCTCCTTAGAGAAAGCTCTTCAAGGTCTATTCAATTGTGATATTGAGTGTCACAACGTCAACCTTGTAGAGACTCTTCCGCCCCTATTTATGGTCAGGGAATCAAGGCTATATATGGGTCTCCTTCTTGTTTATAAGGTGTTGTTGGCACCAGCGAGGAGCCGGATCTACAAGATGTTATTTTTACCAGTGCTTCTCAGAAGGGTCCTGCGCCTTCGGGCAGCAACGCTAAGATGGATAGCACCTAGCCCCTGCTTTGCAAGAAACGTAATTTGAGTTTCTTGCTAGGGGGTCCCAAAGGTTCCACTAGTGCCCCTGATGAAGGTCCTTCGAAACTGTTGGAGGGGGCACAAAATAAGGCAACTGAACTGCCCGGTCATACAGAGAGAGAAAACCTCGACGTGACTAACCCTAGTCCTGCTACTGAGGGAGCCAAGGCGAAGGCTGGATCTGCGCCCTCTTAGGGTCTTGTGCGAACTTCTTTTGGTAAAACGGGAGTTGTCCCTCCTCCTTTAGGGTCTCATTCAGGTACCTACAGGTTTTCTTGGAGCATAACCCCCAAAGACCTCGTGTTTGAACACGACACTGCTCTTGAGTGGTGTCGGCATGCTTTTCTACCCACCACAGCTGAAGCTTTGACCGTCTTGGCAGATGAGCATGTGGCCAATAGTCTTCGCTATGCTGCCACCCAAGTTTCATCTTATTGGTTTTAGCTTTTGACTGCATTTATGGCATAGAGGCTATACTGTCTCATTCGGAGAAGATGAGGGTTAAATGTGTGGAGGTGAAGTCCCAGATGGTGAGGATGGAAGCTGATAAGCACAACTGGGAGGCTCAACAAGAGATTTTATTGTGTGATAAGGTAACCCTAGAATAACATGTGGCAAGGCTGGACGAGAATATGAAGCGCTTGAACAATCGTGGAGGGGCCCTGAGTTTAGAGAACACTGGCATGAGTAAGCGAACGACAGAGTTGGAGGCATACCTGGTTGGAGAAAGCGCTGCAAAAGGGGTGTTAGAGAAGGAAATTGTATGGATCCTTTGTGATGGGCTTAGCCGAGTTGTGGACAGGGTGACCAAAATCACCTAGCTTCTCAAGGGCTTGGTGCACGAGCAAGCGGCTTGCGTGGTGGCAGGTGTGGAGCAGGGGAAAAGAGCTTCAAGAGAACTGGTGGTTGTCGGGGAGTTTGACCTAGTGGTAGAGGTGGATGTGGCCACTAAGACTTCGAAGATGGAGGACAACATTGCAATGCTTAGAGTGATGAGTTGGGTCCTGCCCAAGCTCTCCACCTGGTGATGGTACTACGCCTGCTCACAAGTAATTTTATTTGCCTGATTTGTTTTCTGCAACTTTTATCAATAATAGTTTCTTTTTTTCTTCTTTGTTTTTGTCTTTGTTTCCCTTCATGGAAGCCCTAAATTTTGGGAGTTCGGCGACTGACAATGTTTTCTTTTATTTAATGGATGTGAATGTTTCCTATTATCGCATATATTCTTTTGTTAGATTACTTCGTGAATAGTTTATGTTGGCCATCACTTAGTATTTATGTAGGTCTTTCTTAAATCCCTGGTCTGAGTACTTATACTTCTGAACTCTTTGTGCTTTACTCATGTTAGTCTTTGAGAAATTTGTTCTAATTTGCTGCTTAAAGACCCTACGTGTAGCTAAGATAGTCATCTTGAGGCTCAGATGGTTGTGATTTTCTCATTAGTGGAAGGTTATGACTCTTCTACACTTATGCTACATGTTCTTTTGCATGTTTATTTTTGGGAATGTTTGCTATAATGTGAGTGATGAACATAATTTGGGAGAAAGGTTATAATCCTTTTTTTAAATAAACCCCCTGGTTGCCACATTGTATCGATTTCGCTCATGTGACGTTGGATGATCAATCCTTGTTGTCACATGGTAAATATACACAACCTCTTTATTTTGTTTTTCAAGCTTGAAAATAAGGAGAATCTAAAATACTCTATCTCGTTTTCCTACTTCATTTATTATTGGAGTGTCATAAGGATGGAAATGGTAAACTGACTCTTACTGATTAAATTTACATTCCAAAACTAATAAACAATGCCTTTTCTAACATTTAATTTATCTTTGACACTTGTTTAAGAGCAAAAATGGCGCAGGCTCTGCGCATTCCAAGTTCTTAGGATTTCTTGACCGTCCTAGGCTTCTAGTACATAAGCGCCATTATTATGGGCTTCCATAATTTTGTATGGCACCTCCGAAGTGACGTTGAGTTTTACTAATGGCTCGGCGTGGCTGGACTTGTTTTTTCTCAACACTCATTCTCTAACTTTGAAATTCTTAACCTGGACTTGGCAGTTGTAATAGTTCTCAGTACGTAATTTATATAATGCTTGGTGCATCTGTGTAGCCTCGTGTTTTTCATCTAGCATGTCTAAGTCCTGGCATTGCCCTGCTTTATTGGTTGTTTCCTCGAAATTCTCTGTTCGCAGAGAGCTAGCTACTATTTCCAATGGGAGCGCTGCTTCCATCCCATAGGTAAGGCTGAATGGTGTTTCTCATGTGCTTGACCTTGAAGTGGTACGATATGACCACAACAATGTTGGGAGCTTGTCCATCCAGGAAGGCTTTGATCTGAGTAACCTTTTCTTCAACCCAATAACTATGGTTTTGTTTGATATCTCGGTTTGTCAAATGGCCTGAGGGTGTGCCACGAACGTGAACTGGCAGTGAATCTTCTTAGTTTCACACCACCCCTTGAAGGGGCTCCCATCAAATTGTATGTCATTCTCACTTATGAGAATTCTGGTTGTACCAAAGTGAGCCAAGATATTTTTGGTCATGAACTTTATCATTTGCTTTGCCGTGACGGTGGCTAGTGGTGGGAACGGTCCCACTATGTTAATCCCTCATTTATGGAAGGGCTATGGGCTGGTGATACTGGTCAATGGCATGGCCAGTTGATTCTAGTAAGGTGCGAATGACTACCATTCTTTGCATTTCCTAGTTACGGTTGCTGCCTCGTCGTATATGTTTGTTCAATATACTCTTAGGCGGAGTATTTTTCCTGTGAGCACTCGAGCACCTTCGTATGCTGATGTATCTCTGGAATAACTTTCCTATAGGAGCGTCTGTTCTTCTACCTTAGATATGGACTTTAGCCATGGGATTAAATACCCTCATCGATATAGTTGGTTGTCTCTAATTATGAAATATGATGCCCTAACCTTGACTTTTCTCGCTTCTTCTGGGTCTTTTGAGAGTATTCCATGGTGAAAGTTATCGAAAAATGGTTTGGTCAATTCTGGGGTAGTCGAGACTGTATTAACCTTGTGGTTATCAATGCTTCTCTCTTGGAGGACTTGGACTAACATTTTCTTTGTTAGATGATCATAGGAAGTTGAGGCTATCTTGTTGAGAGCAACCCCCCTCACATTCTTTCCATGGGAAATTTGCTTTATTCAAAAGTTTTTTAATGTGTTGGTTAAGTTGTGGACTGCATCCTTGGATCTTTGGCTTCATATGTTCTATCTATCTGGTTGTTGATAATTAACGAATCATTAAGAGCTGCTAATTTCTTGGCACCAACCTCAGGTCTACCAAGAGAGATTCGTATTCTACCTCATTATCTGATAATTGGAAATCGAATCACAGTGCGTAAGTGATTTCTTCGCCTTTGGGGTTTTAAGGTATCAGGCCTGCGGCCGAGTCTTTTTCACTTGTTGCGTCGTTGGTGTATAATTTCCAAAGTTCTTTGCTGACCTCATGCTTCAGTGCCTCAACAAAGATTGTTATCGGTACTCCTTAGATAGTATCCGATATTTCGACTAGGAAATCTGCAAGGGCCTGGGCCTTGATGCTGGTCCGAGGGTGATAATTGATATCGTGTTCGCCTAATTCTATGGCCCACTTGCTCAGGCATCCATACTTTTTCAGCCTTAGAAGAACTTGCTTTATTGGGTAGCTGGTTAGGACATCCAGCTTGTGGGCTTGAAAATACCGATGTAACCACCTGGCAACATATACCAGGGCGAGGACCAGTTTCTCTAAGGCCGGGTAATTAACCTCTGGCCCTTGCAAGGCCCTACTCAAAAAATGGATATGGACCTACTTATAATCCCTCTCCACCAACCACATAGAGGAGATAGCTTCTTCAAAAGTTGCTAAATACATCTGTAGTGTCTCCCCTGGTAGCGGTCAAGCGAGGGCTGGTAGTTGGTGTAAGTCATCTTTCAGTCGTTGCAATGCTTCATATGTTCACTCTGTCCATTTGAACTCCTTTTTATCTAAACACCCCTTGAGAGTTCAGTACAGGGGAATCGCCTTTTCTACTGATTTGGAAATAAATCCTCCTAATGTCGTTATCTGACCATTAATCTCTTGTACGCTCTTCAGGTTGTGGGGAGTTTTAACTCGAGGAACTCTTGGATTTTGTTTTGATGGGGTTGGGCAGAATCCCTTCCTTGGATATCTGATACCCAAGGAGATGACCTTCCTCTACACCAGAAGTACACTTGGCTGGGTTTAACCTCATTTGCGCATTAGCTAGTGTTTTAAAAGTTTCTTCCACATCATGGAGTAATGTTTCTTCTTTACGTCTCTTGATTACCATGTCATCAACGTAGAACTCGATATTTCTACCAATTTGATCAACGAATATCTTGTCCATTAATCTTTGATATGTAGCACCCGCA